CCAGTGGCAGGGCCAGCACTGGAACAGGTATGTTCCTACTGAGACCAGAAGAGATGCTGCAGTCCTTTATCCCCTGGCCTGGAGCCGGGTCATCCCAGCGAATGGAGGTAGTGAGGGAGGGATCAGCAAGTGAATAAATGAATGAATGTATGAATGAATGAACACAAAGGCTGTTTAAGGGATTCTGTCCTGGGGGAGGTGTGGGAGAACCACAGGCCTCTCCCTAGTTGGCCCCTTCAGGAAGACCCCTGAGATCGATGCACTTCAGGAAAAGATCCAAATCTTACCTCCCCAGAAACAAGTGTCCTCAAGTTTCTGGGTCCCAGGATCTCCCAACTGTCCAAATGTCTCCCTAAGGAGCACTGATCAGCACCTCTTTGGCCTGCTCCCCTACCTTAGTCCCCAAAAGCCCCCAATGCCGGAAGCCAGAGGTCACCCTGCCCTAGTTCCCAGCCCCGACCTGCATGCTTGCCCAGGCTGGACTCTGAGTTGGGACTGGGGTCTGGGGTGAGGGTGGGGTAGGAGAAAAGCTGGCATCATCTCTCTTTGCCCTCTGCCCTGCTCCTCCCCTCCACAGCTCACTTTGGGGAGCCCTTGGGGTGAGGGCGGTGCACCCTCCCGCTGGATCCAAGGAGCTTGGGAGGGGCAGGTAGGGTGCTGGAGCCCCTGCTGGCCAGGCACCACCCCACTGCTGTGGGCATGGGTTGGGAGAATTCTTCATTCATTCAACAAATATTTATGAAGCCCCTACTGTGTGCCAGGCCCTGGATGAGGCACCAGGGCTCAGGAGAGACCCTCCCTTCTGATGTCTATGGTTCCCCTGAGGAGGTAACTGGTGTCTGTGTATCACGTGCACCGCACCCCGCCAGCCAAACTCCTGAGGACTGGCGCCACCCCAGAAAACTGAAAGCTCCCTGTGGGTAGGAGCTGTTCCTCCCACATCAGACAGGGATTTTCCCCAGGCGTGGCTGTGACATCCCCACCAGGCGGGGGCTCCCTCGGTCTATAGAACCTGCTGCTCCTAAGAAATTTCTCCTCTCATTCTTAGAGCCTCCCCGATAGGGCTGCCAGATAAAACATAGGATGTCCAGTCAAACTTGAATTTCAGATAAACAAGGGATGATTTTTAGTTTAAGTATGTCCCAAATATTGCATGAGGTATACTTAAACTAAAAATCATCCCTTGTTTATCTGAAATTCAAGTTTAACTGGGCTCTGTGTGTTTCTACTTGCTAAATCTGGCCACCCTACCCCTGGAGCTCAATTCTTCTGCTCACACCTGGCCTGGATGGATGGCCCAGGCCATGACAGAGCCCCTGCCTGCCCAGTTACAGCTCCTGTCAGTCCCCAGGACTACTGTCCTCCCCCACCAGGACCCACCTGCAGCCCCAGCTCCCAGGTGGACACTTACCCCTTACCTGGAGTGCACAGTCCAGCCTACAGACTGTCAGAAGCCTGCCGGGGCCTCCTGCATGATGGACCCAGAGAGACGGGGATAGAGTCACAGCTGCAGAGAGGGACCTTGAGTGTCAGAGACAGAGAAAGGCAGAGACACAGAGATAAAGGGACATAAAGAGTAAGCAGATGGAAACTGTGGGAGATAGCCAAGACAGAGACAGACAGAGAGCTTAAGGCTCCCTGCCCAGAACTGCTTCAGGGAGACCAGTGCAGAGGGTGGAGGATCCTGAGAGCCCACCAGGGTTCATTCCGAGTGGATCAGGGCAGAGGCTGGGCCCCTGAGCCCCTGTACTGGGCCAGGGCTCTGCGCCCTGGATGGGCAGGCCTTGGGAGGCAGCTTGGGGTCTCCGGCACTGGCAGTCAGGGGTGGGAGTCCTCCCAGCCCCTCTGCTCTCCCCTCACCCTGCCTCCCAGGGGCAAACACAGGGACATTCATGGCTTCCCAGAAGGGCCTATGGGGCAGCCAGAGTGGCTTTTAAAATTAGCCTTGCTAACCAGATCTGGTTATTTCAGGAGGCTCCGTCCCTGACTGTCCCCTTGGCAGGGCGGATACAGGGAAGGAGGGAGGGACCTCCACATTCCAGGGTCCCTGGTTAAGTACCCCCTGTGGCCTGAGCAGCAGAGACTGTCCAGGTCCCAGTCCCCTGGCACTGGGCGGGCCTGGGCCTGCGGCCGGCTCTTTGGCAACGTTGCCCCAGAGTTAGCCGTGGATGTCCAGGGATGCCCCAGCTGCTGGGGGATGGGGAGGACCCCCTCCTATTGGGCATGGGGTCTATGCCACATCCATTAGAGGCCATGACAGCTTCTTGGCCTGACAGCAACAGGTAGGGCTTTGCCTCCATCTTATAGGTGAGGAAACTGAGACCTGGAGAGAAAGGTCCCAGCTCTGAGGCAGGGGAGATGTGGCTGTCGGGTCAGCCAGGCGCCCAAGTCCCTCCATGGAGGCCTCTTGCCTCCTGCGTCCAGAGAAACCTTTGGCTGCCGTTTCCACCACCAGAGTTATTTCTAAGCAGAGTCCTGTGCTTCCCGGAGCCCGGCGCCCCCCGCCCAAGCCCTAATTTCAGCCTCGGGTCAGTGTCCTGGCTCGCCCTCCCCACCTCAGAACCCAGGACGAGCACAGAGCTGGCGCGGGCACAAGAGAAACAGCGCTGGACGCTTTGATCCCAGAGGCCAGATTCGTCCTCCGCCTCCCCCAGCCCCACCTTGGAGCCTGGAGGGGTGGGGCGGGGGCCCAGGCTGAAACCCAGCCCAGAGGCCGGCCCTTCCCGCTGACAGGGGCTCTGCCACAACCTGGGCAGGCCGAGGGGCAAAGGCAGGTTCTGCTCATCAGGCCGGCCCCCTGCTTCCGCCCCAGCTCAGCTGCAGGCCAGAGCTGTGGGGTGGGGCACATCATAAAGGGATACAAGCAGGGGTGCCCCACTTCTTTTATACAAGGATCATGAACCCCAGTAAAGCCCAGGAAGCTGAGGTTCAGGGAAGCAACTGATAACTGTACATTCCCAACGCCTCGTATCCAGACACCTGTGCCGGGCTCCGCGCCAGCTGCTTCATCTCCCATTCAGAGAGAGACTCCACAGCCTCTGATGCGGGTCACGGAGATGGCCCTCGTTAATGGCTAACTGCATGTCCCCACACACAACACACACCATTTTCTGAGCCCACTGTGTGCTAGGGCAGCACCAAGAACTTTCTGAGGTATCATCTCATTGAATCCTCACCTCAGGGTACCAAGGGCAGGACTGTTAGCATTCCCATTGCACAGATGAAGACCCGGAGGCCCAGAGAGCCAAAATCACGTGCCCAAAGCCACAGAGCCGGGAGGTGAACAGACTCAGAGCCAAGCTCTTCATCTTGGTGCTGAAGCGGGGCTACTGGCCCTTGGTGGTGGGATGGGAGGAGACAGGGTAAGAGACTGGGGCAGAGAGTGGGGAAGAGCCAGGGCCTGGGAGGGGTGAGAGAACAGGGCCGAGGCAGAGGAGGGGAGGGGGGATTACCAGGGGACCCACTGAGCGCAGGGTTGCCCAGGGCCAAACCCAGGTGGGCGGGGCTGGGGAGTGGATGTGAGTCACCACCCCTGGGTGGCCCCAGACATCTGAGTGTCACAGCAGGGCCCTGTCGGGAAATCCCCTGGGGTGCACCCAGCATCGTCCAGGGGAGGGCATGGGAGCTGTGGTGGGGAGGGGGCGAGGCCAAGGCACGGTTAGTCCCGCTGGAACCCAATTCTGTGCCCGCGCCCCCAGACCCCAAATCCCCCAACCTGCTCTTCCTCCTGTGCTCCTACCTCAGAGGAGACCCTCCCATTCACCCAACACTCAGGCCAGGAACCCCCCTCCACCGCCCCAAGGTTCCTCAGGTCCTCCCTCAGCCCCACATCACATCAGGCCACATCAGGCCCTTCGCCCAGACGCTCAAGTCTCCCAGCATCTTCCAGACCTGCCCACTGTCCTGGTTACCCTCCGCACCCAGCAATGGCCTCCTGGGCCCTCCCCTCCTTGGGCTGACATTGCCCAGCCAGTCCCCACCAGCAGCCCCCTCTTCTCTTTCTACTGCTATTTCGCATCCTCCATGGCTCCCCAGTGCCCTCAGCGTAAAGCCTTAGCCCCTTGGTCTGGCACCCAAGGCCACGTGACCTCTGGCCTCATCTCTGCCCCATCTCCCTGCCCATCACCACCTTCCCATCATTCAGAACTGCTGGCTCCCTTTCCGACTGCAAGCAGCACTCTCTCGCCTCCTGCCTTTGCACCTGCAGCTCGCTCCCCAGGGACACTATCCTAAGCCTTTCCAGGATGCCCGGGCACCACTGTTCCGGAGTCTTCCCCATTCTTCTGTTAGCCAGGCTGGACCCCATGCTCGTCCCCGCCCCCCACCCCCGCCAGGGCATTCATCATCCTTTGTTGTAACCGCTCTGCACTGTGAGCTCCTTCCAGCAGCTGGACAGATTCATCGCCATCTCCCCACCCCGATCATTCCAGGTAAGCAATCCCTTGGCGCCCCCAGGTGGCCACATAGGGGAAGCCCTTGAGCTTCACTGGGCATAGGAAGAGAGGGAAGCCGATCCTTGAGCACCCACGGGGTGCCAGACGCTGTGCTAGGCGTTCCACCTGCTCCAGCTCAGTGAACCCTCAGTGAACCCTCAGTGAACCCTCATGACGAACCCTTGGGAGATAGTTCTGTAAAACTATCGCTTCCGTTTTACAGAAGTGGAAACTGAGGCTCAGAGAAGCTTTTAAGTTTCCCAGCGTCACCCAGAGAGTTAAAGAGACCGTGTCAGGACTCCAATCTAGGTCTGCCTGATTGGACCTTCAAAGCCACGTCCTCCCTGCTGTGGAGAGGGGAGCAAGGTGGAAGAAAGGGCAGGGCCATGGCGGGGAAGCCAGAGCTGGTGGTCACAGAGCCTGCGGCTTGGCCCTGGAGGTGCTCGCAGACCCAGCTGCTGATTCGGGGGGTGAATAGGCTCTCCCTCGCCACCACGGTGCCACTGAGATCTGTCGGGTTGATCCGGGTGGGGGGCGGGGTCACGTGAAGCCACACCCGACTCGGGGTACAATAGCGATAAATAGAATTTATTTTGTACAACTGTTACTGACATACACACGGCCACGGGGGGCTTCCAAAATGGGTGTTGGGGCCAGGAGGCTGGCCTTTGGCGTGGCGCCTAAAAAGTGTGGACAGACGCACACAAGGATGTGGACCCACAGCAGCTGTGCCTGGCTGCCCCCTCCGTGGTGGGTGAGGGTGGCGCGAAGGTGCGGCCCATAACTCTAGGCCAGCTGAAACCCCTCGGCCCGGTGTGCCCAGGAGCATGGGAAGGCAGGGGTTAAGCTGGGTGCTGGCTGAGGAGCCAGGCAGCTCCCACTTCCCCCACAAGCGGGTCACTCGTCTGTCGTGGAGGCAGTGGACAGGGCATCGGCAGATCTGCGGTAGAGACTGAGGGTCCAGGAGGGGCAATGGGCACAGCCTCGGCCCACCGGGGGCCCCAGGAACCCCAAGAAGCAGGGTAGGGTGATGGGAGGTCTCTAGGACGACGATCCTCCATTCTGGGGCAGGTGCATGGACTCACAGCCTTCAGTGACCTCTGAAATAATCTTGTCCATTTATAGCAGAGGCGCCCGGAGAGGGAGAGTGATTTGCCCATAGTCACAGAGCAGAACCCAAATTAAAAGCTAGGACTTAGGACTCCCAGCCCAGTGCTCATTCTACCACACCTCACACCCCACGGCCTCCACAGTAGGCTCTGTATGCACTGAGATGTCTCAATCCCCCCTTCCAGCTCACTCCCCCTGAGTCCAGAGGGGCACCCAGGGGTGATGGATGGCCAGGCCTGGAGTCCTGTTTCAAGTGACCACTCCCTGCCCCAGCCGGCCCCCCAGCCCAGGGGGTGGGGATGGTGCCAGCAGCTTCCCCGCTCCCAGGTCTGGATGGCTCCGCCCTGCAGAGACAGCCCAGACAGTGGGCCAGGAGGAGGGCTGGCGAGGCGGGGGCAGCCCACAGGCTGGTGCTGGCCTCGGGGGCAGAGGTCCCGTCTGCCTGGATTTGACACAGCATCTTCACCTTGTGCTTCTGTGGCCTCATCTGCAGGGTAAGGGGAGACGGAGGCACCGTGAAGCCGGGGGACAGATGCGGAAGGGCCCACCCTTGGAGTTCCAGGCTCTGGGTCTTTCCATCCCACTGGGAACCCCCTAGACCCCTCCCTCCCAGAAATTCCCAAGTCCCTTTCAGGCTCCCATCAGATCCTCCCAGAAACTCATGGGCAGAGGTGAGGCAGCATTTATTAGCCCCATTGTACAGATAGGGAAACTGAGGCCCGCGGTCACCTAGCAACTGAGTGGCAGAGGACTCAAACCTAGATACATAGCTCTCACCCAAGAGAGGTGACAGAGGAAGACAGAGAAGCTGGCCCACCCCCGCCCTCTCCCCACCAAACAGAAGCTGGGGGCTGGTACTGACCTGCTCAGTGTCACCTTCAGAGGGGCATCCTGGCTAACAGCCCTGCACAGAGATGGCGGCAATGCAGGTGACAGGACAGACGACATGGAAGATACACGCAGGCAGAAGTCACTGGCTATGCCCAGGCTGGACGAGCCCAGCCCCCCAGGATTAAGGGGGGCCCTTGGTCCAGCCCCCATCCCTGGGGACCCCTGGTCGCTTTGATGCCTCTCCCCAGCAGCCAATCTCCCTCCCAAGTAGGGCTCCCCATAGGGCCAGGCTCCAGGCCACCCGTCCCCACCGTGGCCAGGCCCCTGGTGGCTGTGCGTACCAGCTGGGGCGTGTGCTGTTCAGATGCTTCCAGCTGGATCTTGATCTCGGGACATGCAGGGTCCCCCGACTTGCCAGCGTCTGGGTGGGGTGACCGAGAGGGGCCTGGGGAGGGAGGCAGGAGGGAGCCACCTCACTGGCCGCGGGGAGGCACCAGGGAGACGGGGGGCATGGATGGGCGGTCGGCACCAGTGCTCCCCAACCCCACCGAGCCCCTCCCTCTGGGACTCCCACCCTTAACTCCCTTCTTTACCGCCCCCCCCCTTCCTGCATCACCCTCCAAGGCCTTTCTGGAAACCACCAGCCCTCCAAGCCACCAACCACCCTAGGCTGGACAATGACCAGCCCACTGTCCCCATGTCAGGGGCAGTTCCATCACACACCACCACCTGGGGCCTGAGAACTGCTTTTGACCCTCTGTGCCCAGCCCTGTCCCCTGCCCACCACAAGACTGGCCCTGCTTGTGGTGGGGGAAGCTGGCCCTGGCCAGTACCTGGGGAGCTGCCCCCACTTGTGGTGCTGACACTGTCCTCCAGCCACGTGCTATAGATGAAGGAGTCCCGCTTGTGGGGCGTCCCCGAGGATGAGACGCTCTCCTGGGGATGGGGGAGGAGAGAGAGAGGGAGGTCAGCCCTTGGCCATGGCACTGGCTTGGCTGCCCTCTCCCCTCCTCACCAGCCCCTGGCCGCTGCAATCCACAACCCCCCACCCTTGCCCCTCTGCAAAGAGGATGAGGGCCCAGCAATGTCTGCCCCAGGGGGGACCAGAGGAGGACAGAGTGGGAACAGACACAGACGAAGGGGCGCGCGTGCACACACGCACATGCGCTCCCATTCATTCATTCAGCAAACATTTATTGTTGTTCTCGTGAGCCAAGCCACCGAGAGAAATCAGGAAAGGTCCCAGCCCTCCGAGAGCTTGAAGAGGAGAGGAGAGACAGGCTGTGAAGAGACACTAGTCCAAGCCCCACAGGGCAGGGCCTTGGTCTGCACTGTCCCCTCTGCCCACGCAGCACCTGGCACGGGGCGTGGCAAGGAACAGCGCTCGCCAAAGGGCTGTTGAGTGAAGCATGACAGACAGGTTCCAAGGACAGAGCCCAGGGTCTACGAGAGTGTAAAGGGGGCTCCTAACCTACCCTGGGACCAGGAAGGCAGGCTTTCAGGAGGAGGTGACATGAGGCTGAATTGAGAAGGATGAATACGAGTCAGTCAGACAAAGTGGGAAGGAGGAAGCAGGTAGTGCTCCAGACAGAGGAATGGCATGTGCAAAGGCCCAGAAGTAGAGTAAGCCTGGTTGGTTTGGGGGACTACAAAGGAGGGCAGAATGGCTGAAGTGGTAAGAGACGAGGGTGGGGAGGGAGGGGCTAGATGGCCTCAGAGATTGGGCTGTGGGGGGTACCGGGGAGCCACGGAAGGCTTTAGAGTAAGAGAAGGTCAGTCTGCATTAATCCTTTGGGCTGAGTCCCTTGGTCACAACTCAACCACACCCAACCTCATGCTTCCACCCAGAGCATCTCCAGGGACCAAAGAGCACCCCTTTCAGGCCGTCGTGGGGCACCTCCCCTCCCTGGGCCTCTCACCAGGCCTGTATCGTCCCCGTCCACACCCTCTGCTTCCTCCACGACGCTGGCGAAGCTGCTGGCACTGGACGAGGAGCGGGAGAAGTCCTTCAGCACTTCTGCTCTCTGAGCTGCTGTCTCCGCTCTGCCACAGACAGCATCCTATCAGCCAGCATCCACACTGGGCACCTCCTGGGCCAAGACCCCATGCCCCTGCCCTCCCGGCCCAGGGCGGCCCAGCCTGCAGCCAGCCAAGTGCCTTTTTGGCCTCTTACAGCTCCCTGGGCCTCTGAGCCTCCCCAATGCCACTGTCCTTGCTAACACGCAGACCCTATCATGCCCCTCCCCTGCTCAATTCCCCCTCCTGGATCCCCACTGCCCCAGATAAAGTCCAACTTCCTTGGCTGGATGCTCAATCGTAACTATTAACAACAATACTGCCATCTAGTGCAGGTTTGCTCTGTGCCAGGCACTGTTCTAAGTGCTTTTTCCCTAGTTATCTCATTGCTATCATTATTAGACCCACCTTATAGAGGAGCAGACACCGAGGCACAGAGAGGATGGGCACACGGCCCGAGGTCACGCAGCCATAGGTGGGAGAACCGGCAGGACCCAGGCCTGCCAACTCCACAGTCTACTCTCTTTTAACTCTCTCACAATTTTGTCCCATGCTCAGGGCCTTTGTGTCTCCTGCCTGGAGTCTCACTCCTTCCCTCAAATCCCAAAAAAGTAAATTTACCTTTGGAAAACCAGCCAGGGGTCGCCACTCAAGGAGGCCCTCACTGATTCTTCCTTGCTGTGGGAATGACCCTCTCTGCTGAGCTTTGTCTCTCCCTGTCCCTGTGGCCCTCTCCTGCTTCTCTGTTCACTTGCCTGACTCTTCAGCCCAGGCCGGGTCCTCTCAGCAGCCCCCTCACCCCCGGCAGCCAGCACAGAAGGGGCTCAGCCAACAAGCACTGAACGGAGGGGCAGCCTCCTGGCTGGCCTCCCTGCTTCTGCTCCTGCCCCCACCCTCAGAGCCTTCACACGGTGACCACAGTCAGCTTGTTAAAGCACCACTGCTCCTCTTAACGAAAATCTTCCAAAGCCTCCTTGCCAGTCTCAAAGTTCTCACATGGCCTTCAAAGCCGTGACCTAGCCCCCACCCGCCTCTCCACCCTCATCCCCTCCACTACCGGTGTCCGCCTGGGCCCAGCCTCACTCCTTCAGCTCCAACTGCACCAAGCATGCCTCAGGGCCTTTGCACTTGCCGTGTCTCTTACCTGAAACCCTCTTCCCTCTGCCATGCCACTGTAAGTCAGCCCTAACAGGGCCGACTCCTCACTCAGCTCCCAATTCAAACCCCAACCCTTGGTAGATGTCTTCCCTGAGCCCCCGCCTAGCGCCCCACCCCCACTCATTCTTCATCATATCCTCTGCTCTATTTTTCTATCATCACTGTCTGGAAGTAGCTTATTAGGTTACGTTACGCTGGACTGTCAGCTCCACGAGGCAGGGGCCGCGTATGTCCAGCTCACTGCTGTCTTGCAGAGCTTGGCATGCACAAAGTGCTCAGCGGGTGTGTGTCAAAGGAGGACCTAGGAGAGTAATCAGGCACCCTGCCGCCGTGGTATGGCTGTGTCAACACTCCTGGCAGGCCTGGGCCCAGACAGGGGGTAGAAAGAATGGGCCCACCACACCCAAGCCCCCCGGCTCAGCATGCCCCGAGCCCCAACCTGTTTTTGGTCGTGGGCATCTCTGGGGAGCTCTGAGTGGATGAGTTCTCCGACTTGGGCTCCTGTGAGACGTGCCCGCTGTCTGGGGTCTTCTGGCCAGCCGGGGGGCTCTCCCTGCGGGGCACATGGGGGCAGCGGGGGGATTCAGCACCAGGCCTGGCATCAAGGGCAGAAGGAGGCCCAGGTGGTGAGAGGAGGTCTTGGGTGCCTCCTGCCTTGTACCCACACCCTACATCCTCAGGGGCCAGACCCAGAGCAGTCCCTGCAGCTCCTGGGCTGGCCTGGCCAAGGAGGGGGCAGGTGCTGTGGGAGCACCTACTGAAGACCCTGTTATGGATAAGGAAACTGGAGTCCAGAGATGGGAAGGAACCTGCTCAGGGACACGCAGCTAGGACATGGCGAAGCCAAGACTCGAACCCTGGGTTCATGGGATTCTGGGCTCTCTTGCCTTTGAGGACAGTGCCAGCTCCACTCCTGAGGCCTCAGTGCACCTGCTCCCTGCTTCACATGCACTGCACCCCCCCCCACCCGGCGCAGCAGCACCATGCCGTTGGTTGTGTTCTTATCCCCATTTTTCAGATTGGGACAGTGAGGCTCAGAGAGGGACAGTGACTTTCCCAAGGTCACACAGCCCCAGTGTGGTGGAGACAGGACTCACACCCAGGAACTATCCTCTGCTTCCCGGAGGCTCTCTGCTGGTAATACGGTGTGCTGTCCACACCCCGCCCACACAGATGCACTTACAGGCCTCCATGGACCAGGCCTCAAATCCCAGCTCTGCCCCTCACCAGCTGTGTGACCTGGGCAGGCCCCTGACCCCTTGACCCGTGGCTCCTTGATGTGCAAGGTGTGACCCCCTGGGAGCCGGCAGAGCTGGGACTGGATGATAGGGCTTCATGTTAGGTGACGAGCTGGCCGTGGTGCCTGACGCAGAGCAGGGACTTGACCGTGTAGCTGTCACCGGTGGGGACAGAGCGGGAGAAGGGTGGGAGCTCCCTCTTGCCTGCTGTGCTTTGCCACTGAATGGGGGTCGGGGGAGCCAGAGGAGACGCAGGACGCCATCCTACCCTCTCTGCTGCACCCACCTTTTCTCCTGCACCTCCTGTATGTTCTCAATGCCGATGGCACTGCTGCGGCGTGAGCCGAACGGGCCCGACTTCTTCCTGGTGGGGCTCTTTCCAGGGACAATCAGGGACTGCGGGGAGAGGTCCCAACTCAGTACCCACCTGCTCCAGGAGCCCCTGTGCCCCCCACATGCCACCCTGGGGCCCTGCTGCCCAGGCCCTGAAGCAGAGACAATGAGCAAGAAAAATGAGAGAACTGTCCATCTCCAGAGAGGGCCGTCCTAATTTACAGATAAGGAAACAGGCCCAGAGAGGGCAAAGGCCCCCCTGAGGTCACACAGCAGGTCTGGACCCAGCATCTTAGTCCAGGAGAAGAGCAGAAGCCTGAGGGAGCTGGACAGCCACTCTGGGCTGGGACTGGAGGAGGCCAAGTCCTCAGAATGACTGCTGCCTCTTTGCCCCCAGGACTTCATGGGACCTGCAGCCTACGGGCAGTGGGGAGAGAGCGGGTGAGGCAACCCAAGCCCCTGCCCCCTGCTACACCTCGGAATCTCCAAACTGGCTGGGGGAGGTTCTGGCCGAGCAGTTGAAAGATGCCCCCGAGCCCAGGTCACACATATACAATGGTGGGATGCCCCAGGCACCAGAAGCATGTCCCCCATTTCTCTGGGGAGGCGGGAAGGTGGGCCCCATGGAGGCACAGATGGGCAGAAACCCCCAGGCCAGTTCATGGTCGGGACAGGGAGTTAGGGCAGAGGAGGGCGGTGGCGCTCCATGCAGAACTGGCGATATTGGGGGACGTGCAGCTGGACAGAGGGTCTCTAGGTACCAGATCCTAAAGGCAGGGACTGGGCCAGAGTCCCAGGGGGCAGGGCAGGGCCAGAGCCCCTGGTGGGGGGGGCACTGGCACTGGCACAGGTGCCAGGCCCCAAAGCAGGTGCTGAGCGCCATCAGAGCTGCTGGCACTCCATCCTGCCAGCCCTCGGGCCTGTCCCGGGGGGAGGGGGGCAACGTCCCCAATATGGCCTCCGTCCTGAGGGCGAGCAGAGAACAGCGCGTGCAGGCAGCCTCCAGAGACGGCGGCCCCGCGGACGACAACCTCTTCCACGGTTCCTATGCCTATGGCACTGCCCCGGCGTCCGAATCTACTCGCACTTTTCCCAGGAATAAGCAATGACTGGCAAGCAGCAGAGGGTGGGAGCAGAGAGAGGGAGACAGGCATAGAGAGAGTCAGAGAGACAGAGATGGCGGGAGGGGGAGGCACAGAGAAATGAGACAGGGAAAGGAGGGAAAGACAGACAGGGACAAAGAAGAGAGCGGGGCAGGGGATTGAGAGAGACAAGGCCGGGGAAGGGAAGGAGAGAAGAGGTGGGAGGAGACACAGAGAGAACAGAGGAGAGAGATTGACAGTCACATGAGAAGGGGTACAGAGTGAAACACGGAGAGACAGACACAGAGATGGACCCGGGGAGCAAGACGGACAGAGATGGAGAGGGAGGGGCAGGCACAAAGGAAAAATCAAGGGCGAAAACAGTTTGAAAGAGGAGAGGGAGTAAAAAGACAGGTGCAAGAGGACAGAATACACAAGTGCAAGAAGGTGGAGGGAGGCAGGGGGTGGAGGAGGGGAAGAGAAAAAGGGAAGGGAAAACAAGGAACGAGGAGAGAGTGGAAGGAAAAGGAAGCAACATGAAGAGAGGGGACAGTTGTGCAAAAACAAAAACAGAAATGGGTCTGGTTACTGCCACGGTGGGTGCTGCTGGTCTGGCCCTGTCCCTGGGGCCCCTCTACAGCCACCCACAGGAGGCTGGGCCACTCTGGCGGGGAAGGAAGGGAGTGGCTAGTGAATTGGGGTTGGAGGAGGGTGGGCCTGCTTCTCCAGTGACAGTGGGCTTGGTGACTGCTGGAACACAGAGGACTCGCCCTGCCTCCCTGGCCAGGTCAGCCCATGGGGCAGGGGTGGGGTGGAGGGGGTCCCTCCTGCCACATGACACAGCCTCACAGCACTGAGCACAGGGCTTGCTTGGCATGCAGCAGTCAGTCAGTAAATGATGGGTGGGTGGGTGGATGGATGGATGGACGGACAGACGGATGGATGGAAGGACGGGTGGATGGAAGGAAGGAAGGAAAGATGGATGGGGAAGGGGCAGCAGAGCAGTAGGTGCAGTGCTGGGGGTGACCACTGGGCAGTGGAAAGCAGACTGGCCCACAATTGAGGGCCTTATTCAGCCTTTGTGCCCAGCACACCCCCTGAGTGTTAGTAGCAGAATCCCGCAGAGCCTGGCAGACAGGAAGTAATCACACAGTAGGTGCTCACTCAGGAGAGGCTCACACAGAAGCCCAGGTCCTGACACACAACAGGTGGGCACAACCACAGAGGCCCTGGCACATAATGGGTGCTCACGCAGCTCATCTCCTGACACAGAGAAGGTATTCACTGATACCCAGGGCTTATCACAGCAGTCCATTTCCTGACACATGGTGGATTCTCATACAGCAGCTCAGGGCTGGGCACACAGCAGACACTTGCAGAGTTAGGTCCACGCAGTAGCCCAGGATCTGACATACAACAGGTGCTCACAGAATCTCAGGGCCGGGCCCACAGTAGGTGCTCACAAAGTACATGTCCACACAGCAGCCCGGGTCCTAACACACAGTAGGTGCTCACACAGCAGCCCAAGTCTGGACACACAGCGGTACCCACCAGCATCTCAGAGCCAGGCACACAGCAGATGCTCACACAGAGATCCAGGTCCTGACACACAGTGCGTGCCCACAGCCTGACACACAGCAGGTGCTCCCAGAAACTCAAGGCTTGACAGGAGGTGTCCACACAGCAGCCCAATCCCCAGCATACGACAGACAGTAGGTGCTTCATAAGGAATGGGACACGGAAGCTGCCCCAGAACAGACACAGCTGAATAAGGGGCCAGGAGGTGGGGCGGGCCGAGGAGCTGGGGAGGGGGCTGCAGGCTCTCAGCATCCCAGTGTCACAGCCTGGGCACCTGACCCCATGGAGGGCAGTGGTTAGACCTAGCCTAGAGCCCAGGATGAGCCCTCGGACAGCAGGGCAGCGGGGGGAGGCGGGGCCCCTGGGGGAGGGCACTCACTATTCCAGCCGCCTTGGCCAGGTCCGGGTTGTTGGGCGCAAAGCTCCCGCTGTGGCTGGTGGACACGGTGTTGGGCTTCTTGTTGCTCAGCCCCATGGCATCCATGGACTGGCTGCGGCTCCGGATGACCCGCTGCGAAGGTGGCGGTAGGGGTTTCCTAAGGCCCCACCCCCTCAGGGAAACCCAGGAGCCACTGACGCCAATCTCGGTGACCCCAGGAAGTTCCTTCCCATGAGACCACACGAGAGTCAGGTCCACATGTGCCAAGGGTAGTGTGGGCCTTGACTCTGCCACCAACTTCCTGGGTCACCTTGGGCAAGCCACCCCACGCCTCTGAGCCTCTGAGCCTCATGGCCGGTCGTGCAGTTGTTGTAAAGCCCGCAGAGGACGCTGGGTCATGAGCAAAAGCGTGCACAGAGAGACCTCCAGAAACCCCAGTTCCCTCCTTTTAGCGTCTCTCAGGGCTTGTTTCTTCCTTGCTTTTCTTCCCTCCCTCCCTCCCTCCGTGCCTCACTTTTGTCAGTCAGTCTGCACTGAACGCTCACTTCAGGGCCGGGTGCTTTACATTTGCTCTCACTCAATCCGCCCCAGGAAGCAGGCACTGCCACCAAGCCCATTTTACACGTGATGAAACTGAAGCAGAGGTGGGGCTGGAACCCAGATGCCAAACCCAAACCCTTGACCGTGGGCTCCGCTGCCTCGAAGAAGGTCTGTAACTTAAGCCCGGTCCACCATCCAGCACTCACCAGATGTGGGATCACTGGAGGCCCCCTCAGAGAAGACACCCCAGGTCCGTGTTCCTCCCACCCACTCCCTGTCTCCAGTGAGCAGAGGCAGGGCTCTCTTCAAGCCTCTTTCTCAAAGACGTTCTGTTCGCCTCAGCCCAAGGCAGGCCTGGGCAGCTGGGCTAAGCCTCTTACGCAAACCCACACCTCCAACTTTGTGGCCTGCCCTGGGGTAAATGTGAGGCCCCAATAGCCTGCTGGGCACCTGGAGGATGGGCAGTCCTCCTCCTGTGGGTGGAGGACACAGTGGCAAAGAGGCCACCGCCTGGGGACCTGCAGCCTGGGGGAGTCCAGGCCCTGTGGGGGGAAGAGGAACTCTCTCCTCCTCTGTCTCTCACTTTGGATGGTAGTTGCTGAGGTAGATGGGCAGGGCTTTGCATTTTGCTTCTTAACTTAGATTACACTGATCTAACTGCTTCACAAATAATTCTCAACAGTTGTATGAGCTAAGTTGCCATTACCCTAAACAACAGATTAGAAAACCTGAGGCTCAGAGAATGCTCAAGCTGGTGGTAAGTGGCAGAGCTGGGATTTGAACCCAGGGTGTCTATGCTCTTAACACTAAGCTAAACTAGAGATAGCCAGGGTGGGTCACACGGCCTAAGGTCATGCAGACCAGGTCCCTCTCCTATAGCCCCTCGTTCACCTCCCTTCCCTGACCTCTGTTTCTTTCTCTCGGTCAGGACAGAGGCTTCCTCCTCTCTTCTCTGCCTGCTGACCTGGGAGCCACCACCCTTGGCACCAGAGGGCTCCAACCTTCAGCACAGCTCCCAGGCAGACTCCGCCCCCAAGCTTAGCCCCGCCTCCAACCAGCAACTCCTCCCCCAGCCAGAGCCCACCTTACAACTCCCAACCGCAGCTCTACCCCAGGCCAAGACCACCCCCCCGCCAAGTCTAAGCCCACTCTAAAGCCCAGGTCCACCCAGAGGCTCACCATCACCCAAACTCTACCCCAGGTGCGTGCCCACCTAGTCCGAGCTCACGCCTATTAACTCCACCCGTGACTCCACCCTGAGCCACGCCCCCACCCGACTCCACCTCCAATGTGAGCTCACCTCTAGCCACACCCCCACACCTTGTAGCTAACGGCATCCCCCTGCTGTAGCCCAACCACGTGCCCAGATTCCAAGAAAACCACACCCGTCCCCCTCCGCACCCAGGTAGACCCCAGCTCTTCACCTTGAAGGACTCGAAGAAGCCGCCGCCCCCGCCGCCGTTCTCCATCTTGTCCTCGTCTCCACCCAGGCCCATCATGGACTGGCTGTGGATGTGCAGTTCCTCATAGAGCGTCTCCAGGAGGGCGGCCCGTGTCCGCTCCTGAGGGCCAGGCCGGGGCCGTTAGGAGAGACCCCAGGGATCAGCCCTTCTTCCCACATTTGCAATCGTGGCCACCTTCTCTGAGTGGGAAGTGGGCCTGGGCTCCAGAAGCCTAGACGGCTTCCCTCAGGCCCCTCCGCAGCACAGGCAGCCCCCAGGGCTCGACGTGGCCCCTCAAAGATCTGACTTCATGTCCCCACGCCCCTCCTCCACTGCGTCCTCTGTGGCAGCCCGCCTACCTCCAAGGCCCTCCTGAGCATTCCTTATGAACCCTTACTTCCTCTCCCCTGACCCTGACGCTGCTCATCTGTAAATCTGTCCTCCCCCAGGCAGCCTTCCCTAAGGCCAAGGTCTGAACACAGCTCTTCTCTCCCCAGGGGCTGAAATTCTAAGGGGTGGGGGGATTCAACCCCAAGAACCCATACTCACCTCTAGTTTGGCAAACTTCTCTGCCTTGTAGCAAGCGTATTCAGCATTGATCAGTTTTGTCAGCAAAAATTCCTGGAACTCAGGCCCCTGGGAGCCCCCAGCGTGGAGAAGAGAAAGGGGGGTCAGGCGAACACAGAGGCAAGGGGCTGGGGCTCCTGAGCCACGCTCTGCTGGGGCCTCGGGCTGCCCTCTTCACTCCCAGAAGGGCATCTCCTTGGGCTCAGCTCGCCAGCCCAGGCACCTGTGAGCCCTATGCCCTTCATGGCTGCCCACCTCTCGGGAGAGCTGGGTTGGGGTCTCCCACTGCCTCAGTCTGGGGGATTGGGGGGTGCCGAAGCCAAGGCTCAAAGTGAGGGCTCCTGAGAGGTGAGAGAGATGTGTGCCCCTCTCCCCGAACATTTTAGAAGAAGGTTGAAATTGTCAAGAAGACAACAGAAGTGAGGAAAGGCCACAGAGTCTGCTATACCAAATGTAAAACAATGATATAGTCTGTTCTGGGACGTTGTAAAATAAAGTCACAGTTTTTATCAAGATGAACAGAAAAGCCAGGCCCCAGCTGCTCAGTTAGGGGAGCCCGGCTGCCCTGGCACACAGTGGGGCTTCAGGACCTCGTACAGCAGAATGTGCACCCTCTCAGCCCCCACCCATTTAGTCCTGCTCTGCCCATGATGGGGGGGGTGCTGGGGGCTGCCCCTCACCTTCCTGAACACAGCAGGGTCCGGGAGGGGTGGCCCGAAGAAGGGCACATCGTCTCTCGCAGTGACGGAGACCTGGAAGGGAGGGCAGCTGTCCCCATGGAGTCCCCACACCAGCCAGAAACCACTGATTCACCTCCCTATCCTGCCCCGTGCTGGGCACAGGGCTGCCCCTTGGCGGGGGAGGTTCAGTGACTGCCGATTGGATGGGTGAACCCCAGGATTTCAGCTCCTCCATCCTTGGTCCTGAATTTGAGTGGTGGGAAGGGTTGGAGGGTCTCAGGAGTCATGAGGATGGAGAGGGAGGAGGAGGCTAAGGGGCGGAGGAGGGTAACCAGCCTCTCTGAGGGGAGGGATTTCAGGGGGCAGAGAGGGCGGGATGGGACTCCTCCATCATCAGAGCAAGAGGGGGGCTCAGAGCCCTCCGGACAGTCCCCCTACTTACAGTTAGGAAAACTGAGGCTCAGAGAGGCCTCACAGTGAGTGAGGGTGGGGCTGGGATGGTGGCTGATGCCCTTGGGAAGCTCCGAGATCACCCACCTTGTACAGGGGGCCATCGGGGCCCCCACTCTCAGCCTGCACCACCACATAGGCATGCAGAAAGTTGGATGCAATCATGTCTGGCACAAAGGGCGTGTTCTCGTCCTGGAAGACCACAGCCACGATGTCGTTCCCGATGTGCCGCTTCCGCTGCAACTGAGCACAGGGCCACAGCCTTCACCACCTGGCCGGGGGCTCGTGGAGTGTGGGGAGGGTGCCCGCAGAGGTGCGGGGGGCTTGGGGTAGGCAGAGGGCATGTCTAAGGAGTTGCTTCCTCCAAAAAAATGTGGTGAGAAACTTGTCTTAAAATTATTCTCGTTTTCTTGGAATCCTGTGACAGATGAGAAAACTAAGGCCAAGACAGAAGTGACTTGCAAGGCCCTACAGTGAATTAGGGGACTTGAACCCGGGGCTCTTGGTCCCCAGGCCCTACCTCTCACCCTCCTCCTGTCTAAATACCCCAAACATGGGCCCCTCTTGAACAAATAAGTTCCACTCAATATATCTTTGCTGTTAAAATGAACAGAGAATCTATTAAAAGAAAATTAAAAGACATTAAAAATAAGGAATAAGCATTTCCATTTTTCTCACATGACCCCTGTATCCCCCTGTACCCCTGGAGTGGGGGCGTGGGGAAATAAGGAGGACAGCCCTGCAGGAAGCTTAGGACAAGGTGACAAATTTCCAAGTTCAGCTCCAGGAACATGCCTTGCACTTCCTCATCACCAGGCCTTTGCAGAAGATGGAAGCCATTCTTTCCCCCAGAATGCTCCTCCTCCCTCTCCTACCTCCTTTGCCACCTAAAAGTCACTTTATCTTGAAAGCTTTGCCTGACTCCCACCTCTGCCCAGTCTAAGTGCCCCCATGTGACCTGACAATACCCTTCATTTCCTGTAAAAATACTCGCATTTACTGAGCTCCTGCTATGTACCAGTTACTGTTCTAGCCACTCTGGGTGCATACCCTCGTTTATGCTCACCTATAAGGTAGGTGCATTATCCCCATTTCACAGATGTGGAAACTGAGGCTTTCACAACATCGTAGTAGCTTGTCACCCTGCCCCAACTAGAGGCCACAAGTTGGGGGACTAGATCATTTCCATCTCTCTATCCCAGGGCCCACTGAGTCTGGTGTGGTGGACACTGAATGGGTAGGTAAATGGGGGACAGGAGGACAGGTGGGAAGCAGGTGGGTCGGTGCCCAGGCTACCTGCTGGGCGTCCCCTTCTGTGTAGGGCAGCTTGGTGGACACGTGAAACATGATCTCCTTGTTGCGGAAGTTGCAGTACACAGACTCGGTTCCCGTCTGCCCGTGGGTCACGTCCAGGCCTCCTCGGAACCTGCCCCAGGCCCCCCAGGCCACGGCTCAGTCTCCAGCCCCAGCCAGGCCTCCACGGGGCCAGGATGGGGGCTCCCTCCCTGCCCAAGGGCATGGGTCGGATTATCCTCTGCTTGTCCCACCCCAATGCTCACCCCTTAAAGTCCTGCAGTTTGACCTTCTGGCCAAGGAATTCGAGGAACTCCACGAAGGCGGGGCTCTCCTCGTTGGTGCTGAAGAGTTCTTCCTCGGAGGTCTAGGGATGCACAGAGGGCAGAGGTCATCGAGCTGGGCCTCCTACCCCCACTCACACCCAGGAAGGCTGGAAAGGGGACCTCTGGCAGCCCCTGAGCTCCTGGGAAACTGAGTCCCTCGGCAGGTGCTCTCCCTGGCAAAGGTCTGAGGTCCCAGGTACGTGGCCAGATGTGTGGGGGGCAGGGAGGAGGAGGTGAGCACACCTGCCCAAGCTTCTGATAAATGACTCCGAACTTGAAGTTATTGCTGATGACATGCTCGTCGAAGGTGACAATGAGGCGGGATGCCTGCGGGGACAGGACGATGGGTGAAACACGCTGCTTTTTCAAGTTGCCGTTTATTGCTCTATGTGCCAAGCGCTGTGCCAGGCACTCCACATGCATCCACTCATTTCCTCCTCAGAACAAACCCGTGAGGGAGGCACTCCCGCGGACTGCATCTCACGGATGAAGACGCCGACATTCCGAGACCTTAAGGAACTGACTTGCTGAGGTCAACAGCTGGCAAATGGCAGAGCTGGGACTTGAACTCAGGTCTGTTGGATTCCAAAGGCTAAGCGCACTGCTCCTGAGTTCTGCCCATAAGCTCCCGCCCCTACTCTGCTCTAACACCCAACCTGTTCCCCGGCTCTTCTGTAAAGCCACCTCATCGTTCTAGAACAGGCCGAGTCCCCCCAGTGTGCTGTGGAGCCTTGAGCAAGTTCCCCTCCTCACCTTGGGCTTTCGGTAACTGAGAAGCAGGGCCTGATTTCTGAGCCCCTTCCTTCAGGGGACCTTTCCTGGACCACCCGCCCTTCAGCGACCTCACCTCACTCTGGAATTCAGTCAGAGCCACAGGCTATCCGTGTCTTTCAGGGCCCACCTCTTTCCAGAAACCCCCTGGCTCAATGAAGACAGAAGTCCCTCCCCTTTATCCCACATTGTCACAGTGCCTCAAACCCAGCACCCAGCACCAGAGCTGGAAGTGCAGCTGCCGTCTGTGGGGCGGCACCTACGGAGGTGCCTGTGTTATTCTCTCTCCCCAGGTCCCCTCTGGGGTCAGAAGGCAAGACCAGTGGAGCCCTGGCTCAGGAGCACAGATTACCCTTAGGAGGGTCCCCAGATGGCACTGAGAGTTTCCAGAGGTAAGGAAGGCTCGCCTCCAAGGAGGACAGCACTAGGTTCAAATGCAGGCTTCCTTATCTGCTGTGCATCCTTGGGTAAGGCACCAACCCTTTCTGGGCCTCTGGTTCCTCTTCCACAAACTGGGGACTTTGCAGGGTTATTGTGAGGTTTAAATGAGAGAACTTAGGAAAAATGCCCTGCACACAGCAGGTGCCCAATAAATGCTTGGCCCCCTAGTTATCCACCCACTCCCAGTGAGCAGGGCCCAGATCCAGCCATACCTTGGGGTAGAGCACAGGATAGAATCGATCCACATTCACGTCTTCACACACCAGCTGCGGAAGCAGATAAGGGAGGGTCTGAGGGTGGGGCCTCTGGGCCTCCCTGGCCAAGGTCTGGGGGGAGGACAGTGGAGGACAAAGAGGGGACAACCAAGGCTGAAGGAGGCCCACTGTCACTCAGAATGGGGTACAGAGAACTGGAGCCCCTGTCTCCAAAAGGTGCTCTAAAGAGTGCCCAAAGCACACAGCCAGCACGTGGGTGGGCATCACGGGAACACGTGAGCAGCAGGACCCTGGAGACAGGCCACAGCAGGCAGGCCAGGATCTGGGGCTAAAGATGAGGGTGTGCAAAGGCGAGGCTGCAGCCCAGCTCTGTGCCCACCTGAGATATCCACGGGGGGCTCAGCATGAAGGATCAGAGGCCTCACCTTTGCCATCTGGACCACGTTGGGGAACTCAGTGAGGCAGGAGATGGGGATGACGTCATGGTACGTCCGGCACTTGGCCCTGGGAGGAGAAGACCCATGCTGAGGGGTGAGGCAGCGCGAAAGGGAGATGGGAGCCCCTCCACACCAAGTAGGACCAGAGAGGGCAGACCCCAGGGAGGTCCAGAGGTGATGAGGCGGTCAGGCCTGGCTTGGGCACTAACTTGCAGGGCAACCTCAGGCAAATCCCTGGCCCTCTCTGGGTAAAATAAGATGGGCTCTCAGGTTCTGAAAGTCACAGGTCCCCTCACCCCACCCTCACCTGAGCAGCAGACGCAGGTGTTCCTGGTCCCCGATGACATCATACTTGAGTGAGAAGACAAGGTGGCCCAGGGCGGTGTCCAGTGAGTAGTAATTAAAATGCTCCTGTGGTGGGAGGCAGGGGCCAGGGGAGAGGGTGAGGCTGAGCCTGAGGCTTCCAGAAACCAGACGAGAAAGCCAACTCACCCCCGGATGGGGGTCCTTCACCAAGCAGCAGGTGTCCGGGCTAACAGCACTGTCTGCCTCAGAGAGACCTGCATTCAAATCCCAGCTCTGCCACTTGCCAGCTGGGTAACCTGAGAAGGTCACCTCACCTTTCTGTGCCTCAGTTTCCTAGTCTATCAAATGGCAGTGAGGTCCACTACCTTGTGGGAGGGTGGCAGGCACTGAAAGAGATAGTGCCCGGCGCAGAGTAGGTGTTCTCTGAACGTCTGTAGTAACCTTGGCTCTCTGGGTCTTCAGCAAAGTCAGGACCACATCTGTACCTGCATGGCTGTCTCCCAGCCCCCGCCCCTCTCAGAGCTGGGCACACAGGAGCTGCTCAATAAAAATATGTCAACTGACTGATTGTTTAACTGATTGCTCTGCGGCCCCTGAAGCCAGGGCCCATGAGAATCAGGAAATGAAACATCTCATGAACACACTGGCCGGCTGACCGAGCCGGTTCCTGCCCTCCTGCCTCACCTGGGGAAGACACAGGGTGGGGAAGAAATGCTCCCGAGGGCCCAGGGGAACTGCAGCAGGGATGGCGCCCCCAGAGAGGAGCTGGCAGTCTGGTACCTCCAGGTGGGAAGCCCCAGAGCCAAGAGCCGGAAGTGCCGGAAGATTTCACCCCGCCTGGCCCTGGGCTCCCCTGCCAGCCCGGCTCCTCAGCCACACCCACCCCAGGAGTCATCGTAGAAGGAAGCCCTGTTTAAATACAAACAGCTGTGCTCAAAGGATGGGAGGAAAAAGATGTAGGGGCCGGGGGACGTGCGCCACAAATCCACAGCTCAGGGGCAGTCCGCGGGGACCTGGGGCAGAGTGACGGAAACCCCCAAAGGCTTGGCACTATCTGTGCAGAGGGAGTGGCAGGCACTTGGCAAGGAGGTCTGCACCGAAGTCCTCGGGGTGCGGAGTTTCCCCGGACCCCCCTGGCTGGGCCCAGAGAAGCCCAAGGAGAGTGGGCTCAGGGTCCCAGTGGGTCAATGCCAAAGTCACCCTAACTTCCTCCCTCTGCCAGAACACGGCCCACTGCTTCCCCAGCACCCCACCTGGAGCCGGGAACGGCCCGGCCTCTCTGCCAGCCCCTGGGGCCCCTCCTCTCTGTGCTGCCAGCCTGACCCTGGCCATCATGCCTCCTCTAAGACCCCCCAACCTGTGCCTCTTCCAATCCTCCAGTGCCCAAGGCACCACCTTCATTCTATCACTCACCACTTCTTCAGCAAACTTTTCTGTGCACCAACTATAGGCTAGGCCCACATAGTCCCCCAGGCCCCACCACCTGCCAGACCCAATTAAGAGCCTCTGGACAGTGGGTTCCGGGGATGCAGTTCTCTCTCCACCCACAGGTGGAATCCCCTGCCCTGTTCTGAGTTTGTCCCCAGGCAATGGCTCCTGCATCTGGGCCTGCTGGTTTAGTCTCAGTCAACCTGTCCGCCCACCTTAGCACCAATACCCACCAGCATCAGGCTAATGCCCTGGGCCCAGACTGAGCCCACACAGCTTCCCAACACCCCAAGGAGTCACCCCTCCTCCCAGCACCCACGAGTGCACGCACACACACTAGAAACGTGACCCCTCCCTTACTGTGTCTTAATGGAAGGTCAGCCAGAGCTATGTCCAGTTCCTAGCTCAGTAACTGTGTGAACTTAACCAAGTCGTTTTATCTCTCTGAGCCTCAGTTTCCTTTTCTGTAAAAATTAGGACGATCCTGATCTCACAGAGTAATTATGAAGATGTAATAATAACAGCTAACGTTTACTGAGCACTTACTATGTGCCAAACATGGTTCTCAATGCTTTTATCATCCTCATTTCTACAGACGAGGAAACAGGCTCAGGAAGGTTAACTAACTTGCCCGAGGTCACACCATCAATAAACAGAAGAGTCAATAGGCGTCCCCAGGCCACGAGACTCCAGAGCCCACGCTACATGCCACCACCTCGTTTGTAAACTGACACAGAGACTGCACTCGGCATGGAACGTGGCACCTACAAGGTCCCAGCGTGTGACCTCCCCTCCAGCTCCCACAGCCTCGCCCAATAGCTCCTGCCTGGAACGCCGTTGTCATTGGGTGACACGAGGACAGGTCGTACTGGGCAGGCTCCCGGCTCTGGGGCAGGTGGTGGGGCAGGGGTTGTACCAATCCAGGTCACACCATGGAATTACTGTCTTCCCACCTCAAGCTGCGTGAGGGCAGGGCCTGGGGCTGTTTTGTTTGCTGCTGTATACCTGGTGCCCAGAACAGGACCAGGCACACAGCTGGTGCTCATTATTTGTTCACCCTGACTGAGCCCTTTGGGCCGGACACTTTGGGCCGGACACCATTCTAAATGCCTCACAAACATTGTCGCATTAGAGGCATGAGGTGGGTATCATCACCATCTCCGTTTTTACAGATGAAGAACCAGAGGCAGGGGCTTCCCTGGTGGCGCAGTAGTTAAGAATCTGCGTGCCAATGCAGGGGACATGGGTTCGAGCCCTGGTCCGGGAAGATCCCACATGCCACAGAGCAACTAAGCCCGTGTGCCACAACTACTGAGCCTGAGCTCTAGAGCTCACGAGCCACAACTACTGAGCCCACGTGCCACAACTACTGAAGTCCAGGCACCTAGAGCCCATGCTCCACAAGAGAAGCCACCGCAATGAGAAGCCCGTGCATCGCAACGAAGAGCAGCCTCCGCTTGCTGCAACTAGAGAAAGCCCACACGCAGCGACGAAGACCCAACGCAGCCAAAAGTAAATAAAATAAATAAATGTATTAAAAACAAAAAAAAAGTCTCCCCATCTTAAAAAAAAGAAAGAAAGAAAGAAACAGAGGCACAGAGAGGGTAAGTGACTTGCCTGATGTCTCATGTAGTGACAGAGCCAGGATTCAAGCCCTGGTAGAGTCTCTGTTAACCACTATGCCGTAACACTGCCTTTTGCAATAAATGTTTGTTGACTGAATGAGTGAATCCACTACGCATGCTCCCTGGACTCTGCGACAGACAGCCAGCCCAGCCCACGGTTCCGCTCCCTCCCAGGCCCAGCGTCCCCCAGGGCTGGGCTGTGATCCACTCCCCAGCCAGCCCAGCCCCCCAACACCAGCGGGCCACACACCTTGCCAAGAAAGTGCTTGCGGTAGATGCGGGCGGTGGGGTTGCATTCCAGCTTCACCTTGGCCGTGGGTGACTGCAGCGGCTCTGTCTCCGGGATGCTGGTGATTTCGTGATTGGTGCCTTCAATCCAGTAGCCCCCAAACTGGGGCAGCAGGATGAGGGGGAAGGGCCCTTCTCGCCCCAGGACCTGAAGGAGGACACAGCTGAGAGCCACCCACACTGCACGCCACTGGGGGCCCCAAGACACCCCCCCATTTCAGACCTGGAGCCACTTCTGCCATGGCTAAGGAGTACTAGGGGACAGCCCAGAGCCTATGTGGGTCCCAGGGATCAAATCCACCTCCTTCAAGGCACTTGCTCCAGCCCTTCTCCTCCCACTGCAGGCACAGACCCAGATGCACAGAGCCCCATGTCCCAGTCTCAAAGGATGGGAGTGTGGGGACAGGTAAAGCTGAGAGCATGACGTTGGCCGAGAGGCTGGCATATTTGGCTCAGAGGCCTAAGGGTTCACATGGGCTCTGAAGTCTTGGGCTTGTAAACTGAGTCTCCAACACCCCGAGCAAGGCCTGTGGTCAGGCTCTTGACAAGGAGGAGGACCCAGCTGTCCAGACTCCCCGAGGGAGTGCCTGCTGGGCTTGGGATGGAGATGGGCTCAGTGGGATCCGGTCGGTTACCTCGTGGACGCTCGGGTAAGGAATGTAGTCCTCCTCCGTCTGCAAAACACAAGCAGGGCAGAGGCCCAGCTGGGGTGGGGTCCTTACCCTTTACTTCCAGCCTCCCCAGAACACCTGCTGTTCAGGCAGCACCCCCGGGCTGGGGCTGCGGATGGGGCTGCTTCCTCATCTCCCCATCCCATGTGGGCTGACCCCACGAGGCAGGGACTGAGGCAGGCTTAGCTCACTGAGTGCTGGCAGCCTCTTCTGGGTCTCCTGCCTGGGGAAAAGGAGGCTCACTGCATCCCCAGAAGAAACCTCTGGACCAGCGGTTCTCAGTGCATCAGAATGGCCCGGAGGGCTCATTAAACTGATTGCTTTGCCCCACCCTCGGAGTTTCTTGTGCAGTGCGTCTGGGTGGAGCCCAAGAATTTAGATGCCAACGAGCTCCCAGGTGATGCCGATGCTTCTGGCCTGAGGACCACACTTTGAGAAGCCCTGTTCCAGACAAAGCATCAGCCTTGTGCCCATGAGCCCCACTTTAACCCTCATCCCTGTAGCCCTGGGTCCACTCCCCTAAGCCCAGCCACTGATATTCTGGGATGATTGGGGTCCCAAATCACCAACCATGGTACCGTACACCTACCTGGAGGGGCTCTGCAGCTCCCACCCCAAGAAAATCCTGAGTCTAAAGAGACTCCTCACGCCTCCTTTGGTCCCCAGCTTCCTGTTAGTCTCTTCATGAAGGCTGGGGGGTAACGAGGCTACCCCTCCCCATCTCTCCGTCTCTCCCCCTCCCCCTCAGCCGTCCCAGGCAGGAGCTACACGGAGAGGGGGAGCGTAAGCCTCCTGGGTCCTGGGTACGAGTCTTTCTGCCACTGCTGATCACAAGTGGCTTCAAGGAAAACCTTTTACGGCAGGCTATCGTGAGGGATGGGGCTTCGATTTTGCGATGGGGAAGCCTGGAGAGGCAGGGTGAGTTTACGGTGGTGCAGATGGGGTGAGGAGGAGCTGGAATGAAGGCCTACAGGCAGGGAGGGGTTCTCCACACCTTAGCCTCCTCGAGGGGAGGGGCTGGGTATACCCTGCTTCCCCCTTGGCCCCAGCACCAGCCCGCAGTAAGGCTACTTCGCGAAAGGGGGGGCGCAGATTCTCCTGGGCTGGCTGCTCGGCTGGGGCAGCACTTCCCCCACCCCTAGAGAGGGAGTCTGCCTCCCCCTTCCCGTCCCCTCCCATCCCCAAGCCCTTTGGAGAGCACTGCTCAGGAAGCCAAAGGCCCCCAGAAGGGTGGAGTGGTTCCAGATTCAGACCTACTTTGAGGGGTGGTGGGAAGGAGCATCGCTGTTCATCCATCCTGCTTCCCTGCAAAGAGAAGGCAGCACATCCCGTCACCCCTTCCCCTGCTGCTGGAAGCAGCACCCCTTCCAGGTAGATGGTGCTGTGGAGGTGCTCCCAGGGCAGGGCGCTGGCTGCCTGGTTACTCAGGCCTCTGCAGGGCTGGCCCTCCTGGAGGGAACGGGGGCTGCGGGAGGCTGGCAGCAGCAGGGAGGGCTCAGGGCTCTGGTCACTGCTGGGAGTGGGGGCAGGGCCAGCGTGCACGCTTGTGTGTGAGCTGGGGAGGGAGGCCGCTGCGTCTACACAGATACGTCTTGTTGAGAGCAAGAGGGAGAGAGAGAGAGAAAGGAAGAGGGAGAGGGGGAGAGAGAGGGGGAGAGAGAGGAGGGGGAGAGGTGGAGATGGAAAGACTAAGAGAGGCAGGGAAACAGGAAGATGGCAGGAGACGGGGGTTTGGAGGGTGACCCGATATCAGGAAAGCTCCTGAGGTTGGTTCAAGTCCCCCGGCCGCCTCCCAACACATACCCAAGCGAAAAACACAGACGAGGGCCTGGAAGACCAGGGCTGGGGAGTGGAGGATGGCCAGGGGTCAGGCAGAGGGGGCGGGGGCTGCCCGGTTCCTTAACACCTCTCCGGACCTGCAGCCCAGCCTCTGGTTGCCCTGTGCCCTGGCATCTGTCCCTCCCCCCATTCCACACAGGGTCCTGCAGAGCCTGTGATGCCTCTTGGGAGATGGGGGATGGTATGTGTATGCGGGGTGGGTTGAGGCACTGACCCCAGCAACCTACACAGGGATGGGAGCTGGAGAGACGCAAGTGGGGCCTGCGCCCTGGGTCAGTCAGGCAGTTGGGCACTATCAGTCCCCATCCCCAGACAAAGGGCTCTGGACAGCACACTGCCAACATCTCCTCCTGGCACGGTCTGCGAGAGCTCCCGGCCCGTCCTCAGAGAGATGTAGGGCTGCAGACACAGCAGGGCCCCCCGCCCCCAGTCCAGCCCCCTCTGTGGCTCCCCAGAACGGGCTCCAGAGCCCACCTCACCTGCATCTTTTCAATCATCTCAAACAGATCTGTGTTCTGCAACAGAGATGGAGAGAGCAGGTCAGCACCGGGGTAGCCCAGCTGATCCTGCAAGTCTCCGAGGAGTCTCCACCTGCCCCAGCCCTCCTGGTGCCCCAACTCTGACCAAACACCGTGGACCTGTCCAAGCAGCAAGAGGGAGTGGAAGGAACCAAATACCGTGGACCTGTCCAAGCAGCAAGAGGGAGTGGAAGGGACATCATAGGATGGGGCTCTGTGCCACTGACTGGCAGAGTTTGACCAACTGCCCGGAGAAGTCTGCCCAGAGTCCAGCACCCTCCCCAGGCAGCCCACCCCACTCAGTCCCCTTCCCCAAAGGAGGAGGCTGCTGCCTCAGACAAAGAAGGTCTTGACCTTTGGGGAGAGACACACCTCCCCCATGTCACTGCAAGACTGGCAGTGCCCGGATTGGCCCACGGACCCCTCAGAAGAGCCCCAGGTCCCAACTCCAGAGACGAGCCCAGCTGGGATCCTCAGGAGAGTCTGTGGTTCCACTCACCTCTGGAAGGAGGGCCCCATCCTCCCCCCCAAGCAGTGTGGGCTGGGCGTCTGTTGGGGGAGAGAATGCTGGGATGTCCCATTGGCCCAATACCTGTGTCTGAGTCCACACATTCCCCCTCCTCCCTCCTCCCTCCTCACACTCCAGCCAGCCTCTCCTGAGGCTAGCCCGGGCACACACAGGGTTAATCCGGGCATCTGCCAGCTGTGCTTGGCAGCTTCAGCCTCTCCAGCGCCAACTCCCTACGAGCCTTCCTGGAAGGCGGCATCCTTGCCGGCTGGCGGAGCTGGGGGCTGGGCCTGGGAAGCCCCCAGAGTCTCTAGGAGAGCGCCCCTCCCCCAGCACCTCCAAGTCCTCAGTTCAGTCGGCTCCTGCTGTCCAGTGGGGGCACTGCCTGAGCTCACAGACACATGTGCTATGGGGTTGTACACCAGGAAACACACACTCCCTCCCTCTCTCTTTCTCTCTTGCTCAAACACACACAGGCCTGCACACCAATATTTAAACACAGTCTCACTGTACCAAAGAAAGCAAACACACAGAAACCCACACGCACAAACCCACCGGGTCTGTGCACATCAATTCTTACAGCTACACGCTAACATACAAATACACGTGTCAGTGTCCTGCGTTACACAACAGCACATTCCCTCACACACTTACAGGTCTATGTCGCGTAAGAGCCGCACACACAAATGCAAACCCACCCCTATGCAGATCTGCGCAGCTGCACCAGTAATTGCACACGAAGCTACACGAACGCCACCAAACTACTCTCACATCCACGTGCCGAGAGACAGAATAACATGCACTCGCAGACACAGGCAGGTGTGTTCATGGAAACTGAGCCACAGAGCCCCACTGCCATGCACAAGTTCACCCTTCCCCATCAGTCACACTCCCTGTATAACAGACGTGACAGACTTGATCCCATAACATTAAATGAGTTTTGAGAAAAAGAAAAAGCATGCAGCAACTATGGAAGTGGTTAATCGCCAAGGATGAGGGGCGTTGGCCTGAACCACACACACACACACACACACACGCTACACGGAGCTGTCTGTTAAAGATCACAAGACACAGACACCCCATGTGCACACTGTGAGGCCTGTCCACAGAGGCAAAACCCACCCTGTAAAATGCACGACAGGAGTCCACAGGAGATGGTGACCCATGGCCCCTGTGGCCACACCCAACACTTCTGAGCTTGGAAGACAATTCCACAGGCAATTAGAGCAGAGACCATAGACACACATCTGCAGTCCAGGTAGACAAACACGCCTGTCAGCCAACACCTTGCACAGCAGCAACATCAGCATCCATGCCTGGGTGAGCCACATAACCTCAGCCCAGCACAGTCCCAGCACCAGTGACACAGGTGCACTGATGTCCCCCAGAATACCCCACTCAGGGTAACATGGCCTTACATGGCCAGAAACAACGCACTGGGAGTCATAGCCACATAAACACTGACACATGGTACTGTCACCCAGAGCGCACACACAGCAACAAGTGATACCCACAGATACAGCCTCACTAGTGCATCAGACGCTCTGACACATGGAAGGCTGTGAGTGAAGTGCCCCGGGGCACCAAGCAAAGTTACACTGTGACATTCAGACCCTTCCTAAGGGGGGAAGGGGATGGATGAAGTGGTCCCAAGGCTAGCGCCCACACACACACATCCACACACACGCACACACACATCCACACACACACAGAGTGCCCCCGCAGCCCAGAGCCACAGTGCAACCACGAGCACTCTGTTCCGTAGGCAGCTGCAGAAAGAGCTCAAGGCCTGGGACCCCAGGGCAGGGGTGTGCCCTGTGGCCTCGATGGCCGTGTGTCAGCCCAGAAGCTAACACACCCTCCATGACGGAGCCTCGCACACCCGCCCTGACTGGGGCAGAGCCTGCCGGGCTCCGAAGAAGTTGGGCTGATCCGTCTCCCGCAGACCCCCTCGGCCAGGCCGCCTTCGCCCTGGTCCTCACCTGCCAGCCGGCCCCAGAGGGCAGTGATCCCCTCCGAGGACGGCGCGGGGGCTCCAGGGGCCGCGGCTGCGCCATCCTGAGCTCGGCCCGGCCCCGGCCCCCACCCCGGCAGCGCTTTAGCTGACCCAGCCGGCTCCGGCCCGCGCGAGCCCCGGCCCGGGCCCCGCAGCGCCGAGCTCCGCGCTCCCGGCTTCGGGCTCCCGCGGCGCGCTGCCTGCGCTGGGCTCGCCGGGCTGCCGGGCCCTGAGGGGGCGGGGCGCCAGGTACGGGCAGCGCGGGGACCGGGGCGGGGCTTCGGGGATCCGGGGCGGGGACACAGGAGGCCCCGCCCCGGACACTGCGCCTGCGCGCTCTTGCTAGCGCGTTGGGAGCTGTCGGCGCGGGCCCTTGGGCCCCGAGGCTCTTCAGCGCACCCATAGCGTGCGTCCTCTACCTTCCCAAACTCTGGGTACCACGCCTTAGGGCCTCAGGGATGGGCTTCTTGGGCTGGGCTTTGAAGTCGGGGAGGAAGTGGCGGGGGTTGGGGGCGGTTACCTTGGAGACAGAGGGCTTTTCTTGAGCATCTACTTAATGTTGGACCCTTTGCAAGTCTTAGCCTCGCCCCACAACTCAAGAGGTACGAGTGTCATCCCCATTTTACAGAAGAGAAAACTGATTCCAAGAGATAAAATATCATGCTGAAGATCACACAGCTTGGAAAAGGCAGAACTAGGAATCCAGGGAAAGGCTTGGAGCTCTCTCCCCTCCCACCTCCTCACCTCCACCCCCCTCTAATGCCTGCCAGTGGCTGACCTGTACCCTCCCTTCCCCAGGCCCCATGCCCATACCTGTCCCTAACTGCCCCTGATCCTGGGAGAGGGAGGGAACAGGGCCTGCCAAGGACCCACACATGGAGAAGACTTAAGCATATGTAGGTTCTAGCTCTGGCCTTGCTACAACTTGCTGAGTAGACCTGAGTGAGTCCCTGCCACCTCTGTAGGCCTCAGGTTCCCCATCTGTAAAATATAAGGCCTCTGAAAGCCCTTCCAGCTGATCCTGCACTGTGTCTGCCACTGTACAGTGGGGGGCAGGGCCTCAGCATCCCCTCCCCAGACAGATGCTGGGAAAGCAGCAATTGCTTCCTGAGCTGTGGCCAAGTCAACACCAGCTGCTGCAGACCCTGCGGGGCAGGGCTGCCCAGCAGCTCAGTGCCCAACCTCTCTTCAGCTTCCTGAAGGAGCTGTTGGCAGCTACCCACCACTCTCCATCTCCAGGGCCAAGGCCTCCTGGAAGGAACGCACCGCACCTTCCTTTCCCCTAGACCTGGCCCTGGGTCAAGCTGGAGCCCAGGAAGCCGGTGGGAACTCTGGAGATGTGTATTCCAGACACAGTGTAGCTTTGTTTTTAATAATTAACAGCAGCAAATATTGATTCGCGCAGGCACTTCCAGGCCTGAGCGCTTCCGGGCACCCATCGAAATGCAGCCAGAGAAACATTCATTCCCACACTGGGAGGAGGCAAGAGCTGCTCGCATCACCGGAGACATCTGTGTGCCAGGAGTGGAGGGTGTGCACATGTGTGCATGCAGCTGTGTAGATGTGTGTGACTGAGATCAGATGTGGACATCCTGGGTGTGCATATTTGTGTGTTTGTACATGTGTATCTGTATATACATGCATGCGTACATGTGCGAGTCTCTGAATACATCTGCAGACATGTGAATGCACCCATGTATGTAGGTGTGGGTAGGCTGTGTATGTACATGTGTGCAGATTTCGAAATCCTCAAGCAGAAAAAATCCTGCAGCAGGGCAGGGTAGGAGGGTCTGGACAGCTCAGTGTCTATACAAATGCGGCTTCCCAGTGAGAGGGGGATGTCCCTTCTGGGTGTTCTGTCCTGCCCTGGGAACGTAATGATGCTGATAATAGTTCAGCTTCCTAATTTGAACTTTCCAAAATTACTTTCACAGTCATCCCCCAACTGCAAGCTGGCAAGGTGGGTAGAAGAGAAACTGCCACCTCTATATCACAGATCAGAACTGAGGCCCACAGAGGGGCAGGGATGTGCCCACTGGCACAGGGAGGTCAACTGCCCCTCACACTGGCTCCACCATCAACATTATAAACGTGTGCAGAGCTGGGGGAGGGGGAGTGGAGAATGTGTCACAGACCTGGGACCCCTCAGCCCCACCACTGGTTTGCTGGGGACCCAGTCTCTCTGGGCCCTGGTTTCCTTTGCTGTCAAAGGAGCACGATGTACAGACTGTGTCTTGATTCTGGGGTGGGGGCGGGCTGTTGGGATGGGGCAGTTTGGAGCCCGCAGCCGGCTGGGCTGTATTGGCACAAATGGAGGCTTCTAGCCAAACTGGGCAGAGGGGAGGTAGCTCAGAGCTAATCGGAGAAGGCCAGCCCCAGGCTGGCCAAGGAGGCAGGACTCAGGGAGATGGGCTCTTCTAACCCTCATTTTTCCAACAGGAACACTGAGGCCCAGGAAGGGGAAGTGAACCCAGGCCTCCTACTGGATGCTTACGGGGAGAGGGACTGGGAGACTCACTTCTGAGCCCAGCTGCCATGGAGTCGCTCCCTACCTGCCAGGTCCCAGGATCCACATGGCCCAGTCTTGGGTTGTCGCCCAGGCACAGACAACAGGAGAGGATCTCAAGAACCCCTTGATACGATCCCTAGGACTCGCTGCACTTGGACCCCCTTGGAGGTGGTGATCCAAAAGTACACCATTCCTTGGACATGTGCCCTCCTGGCCTAGAAGAAGTATATGGCCCTTGTTCCAGGTCAGAGCACTGGGAAAGGAGCTTGGCAGATCCTGCCTCTGCTATTTCCCGGCTGTGTGACCTTGGGAAAACCACTTCCCCTCTCTGAGCATCTGGATCCTCATCTGGAGAATGCCTACCACCAAGGTTTGATGGAAGGACCAAGAGGCATGATATCTGTGGACGTGCTTTAGAAACTGAAAAGTGTACTACGAAAGTGACAGCTTATTACCCTCTGCATTAGAGATGCCACCAGACTAGGCACTCTGGTCAGATAACATGAGTTCTGGTCCTAGACCCATCACATCCTACCTGTGTGTCTTTGAGCAAGTAACCTAACCTCTCTGAGCCTCGATTTCTCATCTGCAAAATGGAACTAATAACAGTACTAATATAAGTACATAGTAGTTAGAGTTTGAGAATGAAATGAGATACTGCACGTAAAGCATTAAGTACCCACCTGGCACATAGGAAATCTCAATAAATGCTAGTGGTTATTACTGGTATTTGACACCCTGTATAAGTTGTTTAGTTATTTATCTCCTAACTGGACTATGGCTCCCTGAGGGCAGGGTTTGTGTCAAATTGGTTTCTGGCACCTCAGTGCCCAACACAAAGCTGACCCAGGTCAGGTGCTGGGCAAACATTTGATTTTGATGATAACAACAAGAATAGCCTCATTTATAGGGCGCTTACTCTGTGCCAGATATTGTGCACAGAGTGTTTTATCATCACTTTTCACACTTGACCCCACTTCAGAGGGCGACCTCTCACAGTAGCCTGTGAAGTGGGGTATTATCATTATACCTGATTTACAGATGAGGAAACTGATGGTGATGTTGATAACGAATATAAGGAAGAATAGCTGTTTGGCCAGTTTATTCCCAGTTGTTTTGCCCCCAACAGTGCTACAGACCCTGGTTCAACTTCTGAGACTGTACCAGGCCCACCCAGGGGTGAGGAGTTGTATACCCTTGGGGGGGGGGGGCTAAACCCCAAGCAGCATCTACCCAAACATTTACTTCTGCACAGCAGTCATTCCTAGGTATCTCTTGGCCCTGGGGCGGGGCGGGGGGGGGGGTGTCTCCAGACCAGGGGCCGTGGGGAGACGGGCACTTACCTTAGGGTGGAGTGAAGCAGTCTGGGAGGGAGCTAAGTCCACTCGTGGCAGGTCTAGTGCCTGAGGGAAGCGCTGGTTCTGCCCATCACTCCTCCTGAAAGAGAAAAAGAGTCTGAGGTCAGGGAGGGCCCCAAGTTGGGAGATTTGTGAACTTTGGGAGGGAGAGTCACTCTCAGAGTTGGGGGACATTAAGGGGGACAGATTTCACAGAGGAGGGGGTCCTGGGTTCCCCAGGAGGCAGGAGAGGAAGGGCTTCCTGAGCGGGGCTGCCAAACAGGCTCTCCTTCCCCAGGGATCAGAGCTGTACACAGGGTCTCACTTCCAGCTCTCCATTAGGCCTCCCTAACCCGTACTCCAGCCAAGAGGATGTCCACAGCCCATTCTGAAGATGGGCAGACTGAGGCAGGGGGGCAGTGAGGGTTGCTGTAGAGGGCTGAGCCCTGACTTCTGGACTAAGCAAGGTAGCCCAGCCTCTATGCACCTCTCCCTGAGCCTTTAGGGACAGAGTAGCCTTAAGGCTGAGAGGCCACCTGGGCCACTGCTATTATTAATGACAATAACACTAACGGACACTCATTGGGCCGACTATGTGCCAGGTCCTGTGCCAAGCCCCTCCTTCCAGGCCTGAGGGCACAGACTCATCACCACACTGGCATTCCCACTTTACGGATGAGGACGCAGAGGCACGCAGAGGTCACACAGCGGGTCAGCAGCAGAGCAGCATCTGAGTGGCGCTTGACTGACACCAAGCCCAGACTCTTTGCCCACACCCACGGCCTTCCCTGAGGAAAGGAAGCAGGTCTGGTGAGGGTGAAGTCAGCTCCTATTACCCTAGAAAGTCTGCCGAGGAGGCTCATTCTGGGGCCGGGGAGAGGAAGTGCCCAGTGGTTCCTGGGACCCAGGTGGCCCAGGGCTGGGCAAGCAGTCCTGGCTTCCACCCACCACCTAGGGCCACCCTGACGTGGCTGCACCCCCGCCCCAGTCCCTCGAAGGCTGGTCCTGAGAGGTTGAGTCATTCAGGCCACGGCCAGCTTGAGTCAGGCGGAGCTGGGACTGCCACACCCCAAGAGGGGAAGGGCCTGTGGGAACCTGGCCCAGGAAGGAGACGCTGAGGAAGCTCTGAGCCCCCTTGCTGGCTCCCCTGGGCCCAGCTACTCAGGGAGAAACAGCTCAGAGGAACTGTCCATAGCCCTGCAGCAGGCACCAGCTGCCTCTCCACCTCCCAGGGGGACTAGCACCTTAAAAGGGGGTCCTGAACTGGGGAGTGCTTGACCCAGAGGATAGACATGGTGGCAGTGACATTTCAGGCCTGTGGCATCGTTGTAGGGGAGATATTCCCAGGCACTTAACTGTTGTGTGACCTTAAATCAGTGACACACCCCTCTCAGCCTCAGTTTCCAGAAAAAATTCATCATAGAGCCTGGGCAGCTAGAAGCTATTCACTCAATGAATTCTCTGGTATTCATGCATTCATGGGAAACTCTGGCTCCCCATGGTAGGGTCTCATTAAGTATTTGTTAAATGGATGAGTGAGTGAATGAATGAATGTTGGCAGTGGGAAGGCATTAAAGGTCTGTGAGCAAAACAATGGCCTAAACACAGGTTTCTGTAGATTACAAGGTACAGTGACACGGGGAGAGACTGGGGAAGGGGGAGTGGAGAGAGGCCCATAGAAATGGTCCGGGCAAATTCCACTGAGGCTGCCATGGGGACCCTTGAGACCGACTATGTGCCTGGAACTGTGTCAGGCATATAACACCTTCACTACTGTGCTGGGAGGCTGGCATTATTCTTCCCCTTTTTTACAGATGGAGAAACTAAAGCTCAGAGACATGAAGCCACTTCCCCTAGCAAGTGGGTGACAGGGTCAGAATTTAAAGCCAAGCCCTTGACACAGCCAGGTCAGCACGGAGAGCGGAGATTGTCCAAAGTCCAGGAAGCCCTGGAGTTGAAGCCCAGGTGAAGCTGGGTCCCCTTGATGGCAGCGATCACTGTCTCGGTGGCCCTGGCTGCCGAGTGGAGGTTTTTGCCCATGATTGAGCTATTCGGGTGCTGTCCTTCTGTCTGTCCCTTCTCATACCCCAAGGCTCAGGCTGTGGCCACTGCAGGTCAGCCTGGCAGCAGCTCCCCAACACGCTCCCCTTCCAGAACACGTCTCCGTTTCCCTGTGTCCAGGTGCCCCCTCGTGCAGGACTGCTCACGTAGGCACAGGACTCGGTAGGTCTCTCAAGACAAGGGGGCTCTTGCTTCTGTTGGAGTGCTGCCCAAGGCCCTCAGCTCTCCAGTTCCTGGCTGTCCAGAGTCTGCCCCTCACAGGCAACCCCTCCACCTCAAAGGTCATTGCTGAGGCCCTAAGGGGCAGGGGAAGCGAGGGGCTCCAGGATGAGAATAGCGCAGAAATCGGAGGCCCTGGGTCCTGCCTGCCCCAATCCATCCCAGCTCTGCAGGGATAGAAGGACAATAATGACAAAAGCCACAGCCTCCCTGTGCCTTCCATGAGTTTTCTTAATCCTCACAGCGCCCCAGTGAGGCAGGTGCTCAAAATCTACCTGCTTTACACACGAGGAAACTGAGGCTCAGAAAGGTATATTAACTTGCCCAAGGTCGCACGGTTAATGAGGCAGAGCAGGCATTTGAGCCCAGGTTTGTCACTCCAGAGCCAAAGATCTGAACTTCAGAGCATGGGCAGCCAGCCCTGTGGACCCAGCACGTCACATCAGGGAAGTAATAATAACAGTAACTGGGCTTCCCTGGTGGCACAGTGGTTGAGAGTCTGCCTGCCGATGCAGACCGGGTTCGTGTCCCGGTCAGGGAGGATCCCACATGCCGCGGAGCGGCTGGGCCTGTGAGCATGGCCGCTGAGCCTGGGCGTCCGGAGCCTGTGCTCCGCAACGGGAGAGGCCACGGCAGTGAGAGGCCCGCGTACCTCAAAAAAAAAAAATAATAATAATAACAGTAACAACAGCAAGGGCAGCCAACCCTGATGCAGGACGTACCGCGTGCAGACCCTGAGCGAATGGCTTCACTTGTATTACCTCATTTAATTCTGTTTCAGAGGAGGGAACTAAGACACAGAGGTTAAGCAATGTGTCCAAGGTCACGCTGATAGTGAAATACAGAGGCTTTGAACCTCCAGCCGTCGGATCTAGACGCTGCCCTAATGTTACACTATTATCTCTTAGAAAATAGTAGCTGCTCAATCAGGGCTTCTGAAGAAATGAATAAACTCAGGTTCTTGCCTCCCTCCCTCCCCCCTCCCCTCCTGATGCCTCCTCTTCCTCGTCTTAGCCTTCCTCACCTCTCACACACCTCTCCCCCACCTTTCTAGCCTCCCATGCACTCTCCTCTGCCTCTGGTCTCCGCAGACCTCCCCCTATTTGGTTATTTTCCTCCCTCTCATGAACTTGAATCTCTCTTTCTCTCCTATCCCACCCTTGTCTCCTCCCGACCTCCATCCTTCCGTTCACACAGGGGCCTCCCAAGTCTCTGCCCGCTCCCCATTTCTCTGGAAACCTTCCTGACCCTAGGGCCTGGCTCAGCTTAAAATGCTTTGCCTTCTTCCTGCACACGCAGCAGCTGGGACATGGGGAACTCTCCCCACTTTTCCGTTCCCCTGGCCAGGACCGTAGTCATAGCTGCACAGCACTCTACAGTTTACATAGACATTGTCTCATTCAATCACCATGGCAGTTTTGTGAGCTTGGATTATTATCAGCCTTTTTCCATATAAGAAAACTGAGGCTGAGAGAGGTTAAGTGACAAGCCCAAGGTCACTCCAGGGAAAGGGCAGTGCCGGGGTTGCACTCTAGCCCAGGGTTCTTCTACTACATGCATCACAGCCGCTCTCAACCCAGGCCCTCAGTCCTGTCACCCAGCCCCCAGCGGCCTCCCCATCACAGCCCCAGGTTCCTGCTGCCACCGCCAAGCATCTTCTCTAGGTCCAGCTCCAATGCTGCCCTGTCTGGCCTGGACACCTGCCTGTAGGTACAGGACACCTGGAGACAGGAATAGGCGGCAGCCAGAAAGGAGGTGACTTGCCCAAGGTCACACAGAAAGCCAGAGCCCACCTGGAGTCTGGGCCAGCCACATTCCAGGGTCACCTTCCGGCCCTGCAGGTGTGTGGCCACCAGCCATCTGGCCCTAGCTCCCCTCCCTCTTGGAGTGCCCATCTCTTCCAGGGAAAGGGTGCAGCGGGGTGTGTGGGGAGGGACCCAGTGGCCCAGCTCCTGAGTGGGATGGGCCAGGCCGGAAGCTGCTGCAGACAGCTCCCGGTAACTTGGCAACTGTCACTGCACCTCCTCCCCCTCCCTTATCTCCATGTTGAGGTAACAGTAATAATTGCAGTGTCGTGAGTGCAGCTTTTTCTACTTTTCAAAAGCCCTCTTTATCTGCTCACTCCTGGAAGTCTCACCGGAACTGGAGCGGGAGATAAGGCAGTCGCTATCCCAGAAGGGTAAACTGAGGCTCAGAGAGGATAAACAACTAACTTGAAGTTACCCAGCAAGGCGGGAGCAGATTAGGAACTAGAACCAGGCCACCACCGGTCCAGGGCCACAGATGCTGCGCTGGGGTGGGGGGCCTCTCAGGGGGGTGTCCACACTCTGCAAAACTGCAGGTCAGACCCAGGTGTGATTGGGGAGAAAGGGAAGACGGAGGACAGGTGACCAGATGCCTCCCTGGGTTGCTTCCCACCTGTTAACCAGCTGGAGAGTTGGTGGGAGGGTCCTGTCTTTTATCTGCAAAATGAGAGACAATGTACCCACCTCCTAAGCCACGGATTACAGTAAGCAAGTAAGCCCAGTAGAAGTGTTTGCCATTATTATTATTAATATTAGCCGCTCTCCCAGAGAACCCACCCTTTCAGGGCACCAGAGGGGTGGCTGAGCTATCCTGCGAGTAGGACTTGGCCCTTTGGCCATTCCGAGAGAGCTGCCCTGAACGGAGGCCCCCAGGTGGGTCTGACCCCTGCTGAGTCTCCCAGCCTCATCTCCCGCCCCCAACCGCCGCTTCCTGCCCTAACCTGGCTGGGCTGCAGGCAGCTTTCCAAACGCGCTGTTTCCCAGGGCTGAGCCTCTGCACAGGCTTTGCCCTTTG